CTTTACACAGCAGTTTCTCCCTTTCTGCCTCGATTCCGTTCGTCAGCCTGTTCCTTTCGACAACCCCTTCTTCCCCCGACGTACAAGACAAGTTCAAGAAAGAAGGATACCCCTCCCCCCGAAAAGCTCAGAGGCAATGGCTGACGTAGCACCCACCGCCTCCACAGACGGTCGCGTGGCGCCCCGCTCCGGTCTGGCCTCCAAGAACTTCATCGACACGGGCGCGGGCGTGATCGACGCCGACTACCGGGGCCCCGTCAAGGTGCTGCTGTTCAACCACGGCGAGGCCGACTTCAAGGTCGCCGAGGGCGACCGCGTCGCCCAGCTCATCATCGAGCGCATCTACACGCCCGAGGTGGTCGAGGTCGCCGAGCTCGAGGCCAGCGTGCGCGGCGCCGGCGGCTTCGGCAGCACGGGGACCAACTGATTGGATGGATGCACAATACACATGAGGAAGAGAGTGGTTACGATGGGAAAAGGAGAAGAATCACTTATGACATGACGATGGTGGTGTGAGTTTTCTGGTTGATTTCTTTGGGCTGTGGATGGTCGAATGACACCCGCCCCGGTAGGATGCGGCTAGATGAGAGACAGTCCTCGGTACAGCGACTAGATTTCCATTGTCGCTGAGTTACAGCAGAAGAGCCACGCAAAAGCTAGGATGGCCAAAGTGCTTAGAAGGAGGCCGGCCGTCCAGAGATGACAAGTCTACAAGGCCACATAACTAGAGGTAGACAGATTCATGAACGCGAATTTGCTCAGGAATGACCCCGGTCTAAATGCATATCTAAGGCCCCCCATGTTCTCTTTTTCGCGGTGTCTTTCTCTATACAATACTCCATGCCACCCACGTGCGCCCCTCCGGCTCTACATCTTCTCAGCTCGATATTCGATGTTCGGACTCCTGAGACATCCCAGGTTCCGGACCAGCTTCAGCTCGGCCGCCCTGCTCCTGACCAAGTGCAGCTTCTTCTGCGCCTCCTCCTCCGACAGTCCTTGCGTCTGCAGCAGCAGGCCCCCGTCGGCGGTCTCGCGCCGCATCTCGGCCTCCATGGCCTCGCACGTGCGGCTCAACACCTCGTGCATGCTGGCCAGGACCTTCTCCGCGGCCTTGGCCAGAGGCAAGCTGAGGGAGTCGACGTCGTCGGGGCTGAGCCAGCTGGGGGCGTCGCGGAGGGTGCCGCTGGGGGCCTTATAGACGGCCTCGCGCATGCGCACCACCATGAGTGCGGCGAACATGTCGCCGGTGCCGCTGAAGTAACAATCGAAGACGGGGAAGTGGATCTTGAAGAGGCGCGCGGCGCCGGCCGAGGTGCGCGACGAGCCCACCACGGACATGGTGCGCGTCGGCGAGGCGGCCTGCGAGTCGCTGAGGGGGAGGGACACCGAGGTGATGACGATGTGCGGAAGGTTGAACTTGGTGTGCAGGACTTCAATGGCGCGGCGGAGCGAGGCCGAGTCGGTGATCTTAACTTCGGAGAGTTGCCTTTTCGCGGTCCTGTTAGCCTTGTCATGACCCTCCTAGGGGGCCGGAAGGAGCTTCGTTGGCGGCGAGAGGGGGCAAAGAAACTTACTCGGCCTCGAATTGGTTCGGTAAGATCAAGTCGGCGTGTTGAATCAGGCCTCTGTACGCCGGCACCACATCATCGGCAACGTAGAGCTTGCCATTGTCGCCCATGACCGGGTCCAGCACCCAGAAGAAGCTCCCCGGTTTCGACCTGGCCTTCTCCTTCAGCTCCTTCGCGATGTTGCCTACGGCCTCGACGGCGGCAGCGCCGGGTACGTAGCCCGAGAGCATCATGTCGAAGCGGTCGAGGTAGGACTGCTTCAGGCCGTCCCAGAGGTCTGTGATCTCCTGTGCCGATACGCGCGTGCCCTTCCATTGCCTATAGCCTGTGTGATTGCCTTTTTGCGAGGGAGGCCCCGGGTTAGACGAGAGTATACGTCAGTGGGCTCGCTCGATGGTAATCTTACTGAACTGGACGGTGTTGAGGGCGGCGATATCGCAGCCCATGGACTGCAGAACAAAGACGGCAATCTTGTTTCCCACGTGCCTGCCGTTCGGTCAGCAGAGCGCACACCAACCAATTGCTGGCCGTGTGTATAAAGTTGGGACTCACCCGGAGACGACCTTGGGAGAAGGATTAGCGGGCGGCGACAAAACGGTATCATGGCAGACGTCTCCCTACATGGCTGGCAACGGCCAGGACACTCGTCTCTGGTACCGGTGGTTCGGCGCTCATGATCTGGCTGCCCATTCGGTACGGAGAGGTCGTGGGGACCCGAGGGGGCAGGCAGGGTGTGGGTGGGATATAGATGGAGGCGGGTATAAAGTATCCCGCGACGGATACCTAGGTGAGAAGTAGAGTAAACAAGCGACGTAAGGCAGATACGTATAGCGTCTCGTCGTGAATATCGAGGACAAGCTTATGGAGGGCAGAAAATGGGCTTCTTGGACTGGAACATCAGCAAACGGCAAACAGGCGCCGTAATCGCAAGGCCGCCAAAAGCCGTCCGGACGTCCACTAATAAGATAGGCACAAGGGCAGTCAATGACTCGAAATTTCTCGTCAGAGACGCCGCGGACGCCGGGCTCCATCTGGCACTTGTCAATCAGCGTAACCAGGTACTGGGTACTGACTGACTGTACATTCTGTACAGCACGCTCAACCCCACCAGCCCCGCACTAGGCCGAGTCCGGGGGTCGCGTCTCCCACACGCGGGCGCGAAAGAGACGAGACGGCACGTCACGATCCAACAACCCGTTGCCTCTCTGCCTGGGTGGTAGGAGGGTGGTGGGTGGTGGGTGGCATGTGTGTTCAAATTGACTTGTCATTACTTCTGCTCTCCAGGTGCCATCCATTCATGGCACGTATAAGGGCGGTATATCGTGATGGTGATGGGAAGAGCTCTCCTCTCTTCTCCTCTCTCTCTCTCTCTTTCTCTCTCTAAGGACCCTCTCGTCTCCCAGAATTCAGGCCGTCATTCCAGACGAGCCTCCTCTACCAAGAGTCGGGTATTTCTCCGTAGTGTATCCATATAACCTCCATCAGACCGCCGTTCGCCGGGCTTGCCAGCAGAAAATGCTATCATCTCGTCGTCTTCGTCCGAAACATCACCATTAGAAGGACGGGGTCTACTCCTCATCACCAATCTGTAGAGTGTATTAGCTTTAGTCAGACCGCCAAGTGATGAGCCAGCCGGGGCTGTTCTCGAGACATACCTTGGGTGCCAGGTAGAATCGCAGGTAGCTGGTTCCAGCAAGGCCATACTCCACCAAGAGGGGCACTTCGTTGGACAGGCAGATCTTGACTCTCGTCGACAGGGGCTGGGCCTTGCAGAAGTTCACCAGGTACTTGAGCGAGAATGTCAGTGAGACGGGCTCCGTCAGCTCAATGTCGATGTTGTTCTCCTCCTTGTCCACCTCTTGGTGGCTGCGCAGAGTGACGGAGCCGTTGCCGATGTCACCGTTGGCCGCAAACTTGACGCCGTCCTTGCTGGCCTCGATCGTCACTGTGCAGATCACACGTTAGCTAACCCCGACACGGCCGACAGGTAAGGCGGGAAAGGGCGTCATGTAAAAATACGAACCAGACTCGGACATGGCCATCAGATCGGTACAGATCCGTCTGAACTCGCCGCTGGGCATTGTGATGGTGGCGGCATACTCGGTCTCGGGAATGCCGAGGTGCTCCTGGTCAATGTCCATGAGCTTCAGGTCATACTCGCTGACGCGGTCACTGGCGCTGCTCTCGAAGACGAGGTTGAGCGAGTCGGGGGCGTCCTCGGCCTTGAGGGTCAGGACGTCGTCGTTCTGGGCGGCGCGGAGGACCTTGGTGAGCGAGACCAGGTTGACACCGAGGGCGATGTTGCGATCGCACCGGTAGGGCGAGAAGGCCTCGGCCTTGTACATCATGGAGACGAGGGCCACGTGTGAGTTGTCCATGGCCTGGAGCGCCAGACCAGAGTCATTGCAGTCGAAGTTGCAGTCCTGGACCAGGTCCTTGATGGCGTCGACAACCTGTCCGGTGGGCGTCAGCACGTATTCTCCGACAGAGGAGCAGGTTGGGGCGCGGGAATCTCACCTTCTTCAGGTCGTTAGCCTTGTCGAGTCTTGCCTCAAGCATGGTGGCGTTGCGTCTGAGTGGAGGGGTTCGGTAGAGAGGCGAGGATCAGAGTCGAGTAGAGGAGGGGGAGAAGATGGGAATGGCTTTGAAGGGTCCGAGAGGTGGCTTTGTGAATGTTTGGTTTGGGATGTCGGGGGAGAAGCTGCGGGAGGAGAATCGATTTGCAAGAAGAGCTCAAGGCACCGAGAGGTGGGATGGGATGAGATGGATGGATCCTGAGGAAAATGGAGAAAGACGCGGTCGCGTCCTGCTTTAATTGACGGGCCTTGACGCGACTAGCGCGTATGCATCAAGTGGGCACTTGTTGTACCATAGTAACTAGGTATGCCTCTCCAGCTGCCTCCGGACCCTGGCCAAGACTTGAGGGCTGCCTCACACCGACTTCCAAACAGCAAGGGCTCTCCCGCTCTTCTCTTTTCTGCTTCTAGTGGAGCGGAGAATAATTCGAACTGAAATATGCAAGCTGATTTGCCACCAATTCTCCAGCAAACATTGCTTTCTCTTGCGCGGCAACGTACCATCTCCCCGGTCTCACTTACAATGCGCCCCGACGTGTGCGTGTACACCACAAAGGTTGTACATGCCGTGAGTTGGCTTGGGTTATAAAAATAAAAATAAATTCCTCATCTGAATGACTGACTACATATGCCCTTCCCGTCGCTCTTATCAGAGCTTCTTGCCGCTCACTGTCGCATCCCGGAATTCACAGCCAGGCTGCGTCGATGGGCGTATGATATCTTTAGCTCTCAATTTATACTCTGATAAACTCGTACTACCACGAGGTACAGTCGGACATATATACAAAAAGGATGAACAAACATTAGCTTCAAAAGATCGTATGTAACCGCCGGGCTTTTTATGCAACCCTTGAACCCCCTCGAGGGCCCGCCATGCCATGAAACCCGCACCCAAAACTCAACGTGCCAGAATTGATCCCCGGAACCCATATGTCTAAACCCCCCAGAAGTGACGCCTGAATGCAACCGCGGGGCCATGATCGTGAGGCGCCTTTATAGTCAACGCCAGAAACCGGGAATAAAAGCACTTGCGCAAATACCGCACTCGGGATGAGCCCGTCCATCACAGTGGCATGGACGTTACTCTTGAGCCGGGTCGGAACGACGGAGCGAGGGACGTCCTCGGCGACACGGTTCGCTCGCCGTTCGCGTCGACAACACCATGGAGGCCTCTGCTCTTCAGCACGTCCTTGAGCTCGCCCATGATCCACCCCTGCTGAAGAGCACGTTCTCTGGCCGCCAATTTCATCGCCCGCTCCTCGTTGACCCTCTGAATTCGTTCCTGGCGGGTCAGCATACTCCGCGGCCGAGGAGTAGCAATAGCTTCGAATGTCTCCATGACGTGCGGTTGGTACGTGGCTGGACTCACAGGCGAGGTGCTGGAGTCCGTCGTGGGTGGTGCCTCTCCACTGGTGAGTCTGTCCCATGCCTCTGCAACGCCTCCATCCTCGCCCCCCTGGTCGACTAATGACGGCAGTCTCGAGGCAACGCCCGAGGGTGACAGGGCGGAACTCATCGACGAGACGCGGCGCTCATTCTTGTCTATCGTTGAAGCGAGACTGGCCTTGCCAGCCTCCCAAGCGTCCATTAAGTCTTTGATCTCGTTGCCAATGGCCTCATATCTCCCCATAAACATCGGCCCCAGCTCTGTGACGTCGTTGGCGGTGCCCTTATCAAGCGTATTCCTGGATTCGTCTAGCAGGAGTGCCATCTTCGCCTGGATATTGCGGATACTCATATTCATATCCCCAACTTTCATAATCTGGTGTTTCCACTTGGCATGCCGCGGGCTCAATGGGGTCTGTTCTTCACCTTTGTCTGTGGCGCGTCAGTGAACTGCTGCAACGTGCTCAGAAGTTGACAACTACTTACCTCGGGGGGGCAGCAGGACACGCTGCAACGCCAAGGCAGCCTTTTGTGTTTCCATGTTGCATTTCCGTATGCCTTCCAACGCCGCGGTGTAATGTAACAACTCGGCTTTGCTGCCCGTTGTCTCCAGGGACACCAAACCCACCAGAAACATCCGGCGCGTGTCACGTGCGAACCGGAGTGTTTCTCGCAGCTGAGCAGTCATATGGGCCTCCTTCTCGGAGAGCTTGGTAAAGCCCTGAATATCAACGTATTCTTTGATCGAAGAGTCCTTATCCAGCCGCGCAGCCACAGCCTCGGTTTCCTCGGGAGAAAGACTTGAAGAACCTCCATAATAAGCCTTGATCTTCAATGGATCACATTTGAGACCGGTATCGTTGAGCTTCAGTTCCGCCTGGTCGGCAAACTCCCTGATTGCCACGGCTGTGCTATAGTAGACGTCAATGACGTCCTTCAACTTCTGATGCAGCTCCTTCCTGATGTTCAAACTCCTCAACTCCTGCCCGTTCGATTCCATACGGCTGAGAGGGGGTAGCGGCAAGGATCTGGCAGCCTAGGTTAGTAACCACAGACAAGAACGACAGAACGGTTGAGAACCAACACTCGGAAGCCACGGGAAACGAGCTCAACCTCCAGGACGAAACTTAGAGCGGAGCTGGCGAGACTGTCAAAGTCGGACGATGTCCGCACAAACCGCCTCATCTCGTTGAGCGCCTGCTCGTGGATATACTTGGACCACTGGCGCCTCATATATATCCTGAGGACCCATGCCACACCGGTCAGCGCGACAGCGGCTATCACGATGCGCCTGAGCGACACGATCAATGTGCCTCCGATGTAGAACCACCGAACCAGACACGCTATCGTGAAGCTCAGCGCGCCCGTAGCCACGGCACCATTTGTAGTCCACGGATGGATGTAGATCTCCTTGATCACCTCTGGCGGGGGAGCGTTCGTGGGCAGTGGGGCCATGGATAAGGAGCCAAACGAGGGCTGGTCGTCGCATAGCTGTGAGGAGATGACGAGGAACTTGAGCTCCTCGATGAAGCTGCGGGCTTGGTTGGCATGCGCCACGGAATCCACGACTGTCTAGAGGGCCGAGTTCAGCAGGGGAAAGCGACCACCACAGGGAACCGTCTTGCACAACTCACCGAGTAGGCATCATGTATGTCCTCGAGGGGTAGGTTCTTGGCCAATTTGGACATGGCGTGCAGGTTCAAGGGGCTCGGCATCTTGCCCTGCAGTCTTGTCCTCACCTTGACACCGCTCAGGCCGGGCGCGAAGTCGAGCCGCTGCTGCGGACTCTTGGGCGGAGTCGTCGGCGGCGTGGCGCCGGCCTGTGAGCGGCCATCGTGACTGCTGCGATCCGAGTCGGTTTCCTGTCCGGTCCCTGCAGCGAGAAAGGTCAGAGAGCGGTGTGCCATGGGAGTTGGGGAGCGCGTCGGCGCACGAGCATCGGGGGGAGCAAGGAGAGGAGTAGGCGGGTGCGTCGTACCTTCGCCCTCGAACAGGTTCTTCTCGAGGGAGTCGTGAGGACCGCCAGGCTCATGAATGGTCTCCATGTAATTGCGGTGTCGCACAGGCGATGCTGTCCATCTGCCGCAAGGTTACCGTGTGTCCGAGGCGGTCATGGGAATATGGTGGTGGTGGTCGTCGTCGGGGTGGTGTCACAGGGTCACGTCGTCGTAGGTCGGTACGGTAATGGTCCAGGACGTAAGGAGATAGATAGGTGCAAAAGCAGTATGTCGACGACCGGGTTCCGGATAACGGAATGGAGAAGACTAGACAAGCAGGCACAAAGCAGCGAGAACAAAAGGATACCCGCGGTCGTGAGGCTTTGTCGTGTAATGGTACAGTACGCTTAATTCCAGGGAGCCGTTCGTATTGGTCATTAACAACAGCAAGGCATATACATTAGGGTAGCGTCGGCAGTGTCCAGTGTCATGTAATACCTTGGGTAAGATACCTCGAGTTCGGGCGACAGATGATGACTGGGTATGTACCGTAATTAACAAAAGACTAAGTCAAGGGTGCCGTGTTATGATCTGGTCTGGTCTGGTCAACCCAAGTCGAGTCGAGTCGAGTCAAGAGTCGAGCGAGGCAACCCTGGAGAGCTTCCCCAATAGGAGTGGTGCTGCTCATTAGCTATGATTAAAGATTCGGGGGCTTGCTCTGATCAGAAAAGCCCCGAGAGAGCGGACAGGGACAGTGGAAGGCTTCCATTGGAACCTGCAGGTGGAAGGGACCCCAAGACCCCCAAGGACCCCGTGCAGGCATCTTACCACAGTAATGCTAGCGGCCCAGGGCTCCCAGGTTCGTCATGGGGTTCGCACTTTGGCCGGGGCCGCGCGCGACACAATCCGATCCGCGCTTGCGATCATGGATCGAGCCAGCTGGGGCCGGAGCCCTGGAGAACTCCTATTGGAACTCCTGTTGAGCCTCCGTTTCATCGGCACCAGCAGCCGCGGAAGCCAGTGCATACATAGTAGTTACATAGTAGTGCATGGCGCCGCGGGCAAAGGGTTGAGATGAGTTCATCCAGCCGCCCCTGGTTGCGCACCCACAGCACGGAGAGGAGAGTTCCAGGGGGTAACGGGGGCCAAGGAGGCCCGCTGGCCGTTTGCGGGCCGCCCGCAGATTGAGACATGTGCACTTGTCATGTGAATAATTCATCCGTCCATCTGGAATCTGGAATCTGGAATCTGGAATCTGGCATCTGGATCCCGGCCACTGGACCAGACCGAGGAAAGGAACCCCCCTGAAGCGGCTAGGAGCTGGCCTGCTGTGGTGCAGTGCGGCAGCTTCGTCCAGTGTCCGGGTGTCGCAAGTCCCATCCGTGGGGAACGATGGTTAGCTAGTTACCTAGGTAGGTAGCTCAGACAGCGCCCAAGCCCGACCTTGGAACCGCCTGGCCGCCGCGCTGGGGGAAAACGGCGGTGCTGGACAGGTAATCGCACCTGCTCACAGGTGGGCAGGGATGCAGCTTAGCGGGCACCTAGGGACGGGAACCTGTGTCCAGTCTCGTCTCCAGTCTCGTCCCGCTGAGGTCCAGCGCCTCAGCACCGACGCCCAAAGCTCCCGCCAGCTAGCGACACCTGGTGGCATCTCGTCCTGTGCAAGCACCAACAAGAGGAACAGCTTCACCCGCCGGACGCAGACGTCAGACATCGACTCCAACCCAATCCGACGGAGCGACAGTCGACCACAACTCCCCTCGTCGTCACCCATTCCTCTTCTCGTCGGCAGAAGCACCCATCCGCCATAGCCACCCTGCTGCGAGCGGCCATGTCTACCGAGCGGGAACTGCAGGTTGCGCCGATTGTGCCGGAATCGGTCATGCACAACACAAAGGTTCGCACCACCACGAGGTCGCGCACGCCACGGCCACGGCCACGGACAATGCTTTGCTGACAATGAGGATCTCAGGCGCTATCCAACATCCAGAGTCTGACGGCCTCGATATTCGGCGTGGCAGCCGGCATCCTGGGGCTCGAGAGCTACAGCGGCTTCCTGTTCTACCTGATCTTCTCCATCCTGACCACGATGCTCTTCTACACGGTCCGCGTCGCTCCCACCTCCCTAAAGTCCGGCCTGGGCCCCTTTGATACCAGCAGATACTTCAGGACACAGTACGAATTCTGGACGGGGGGCATCTTTGGTGGTTTGGCTGGCTATATATTGACCTGGACTCTGTTCTATGGCTTGGTGCGGGCTTGAAGAGAGGGCCTCTTCCGTGCAAGGGCGAGCAGTAAGCATAGGCGTCGGCGTTGGCGTTGGGGGCAAAATCACATAATTATATTCGGGTGGTAAAAAGAGCAAGACCATTCATGTGACGCTATCCGAGAAGATCAACTGCGTCATGTTCGCTGAAACAACAAAGACCTGTAGAGGGTTCACGCACACAACTTCCCCAACCGTTCATCGCTCTCGTTGTACCTCTGACCCTGGGCCGGGACTGCCCTCGTCAGCCGTGCCGTCACTCCGCTATCTCTATCACACTTCCAACGTAGCCCTCTAGCCCAGAGCTCCCCTGTTTCCCGCCTTCCATGAGGACGACGCGGGATCTCAACTCTATCCATTCCCTATTGGTGAGCAGTTCCAGAGAGACGGCGTATTCGTTCTTGGCGGCATCGAAATCCGCTTCAGAACGCGATCTTTCCAGCTCAATGCTGTCTGCCATGCCGAATACGTCGTCGTGGCCTTCACTCACGGCGTTCCGCAGATCGGAGCCGGGCAGATGGCGAATGACTTTCAATATCCGGGCCGCCGCCCGAATGGTTGCCACATATACATTGACGAGGGTTCCAACAGATAACGACGTCACCCCAATATCCGAAAAGACCGCCTTGAAGCCCGAAGCTGCCTGCAAGGACAGTCCAGTATCCAGCATGTGCTGACTAGGAATTGCGAGGACCTGTCCTTTCCGGATAGTGATCCCCGTAGGCTTTGTCGTCTCGAAAATTGAGTCAGTATCGGATAGCTCCTCGACAGGGTCCTCAAACACAATCTGGACAGTTCCCGCCTGCCCGGCCTCCATTGTCCGTACCGGTAACCGTAGATTGCGGATGTTGACAACTGAGGCATTGCGCCATTCTCCCTTGACGGTCGATGCAGAAACTGCATTGCGTGAGGCAAAGCGAGCAAGCTCGGCGAATGATGGATGTGATATGGACAGCCCATCCCCGGGCGACGGGTGATCGCGTGGCACAAGCCTGCGTGCCTCCTCATCATCTGCCGGAAACGGTCCCAAAACTACTCTATCGCCAATGGATAAGGAGCCGAAGCGCAGATAACCGGCCACGACGATAGCACTCTTGTCTGAAGCATGGTTCGCGAGCTCATACTTGTCATCGATGTGGAATAGGGTGGATGGCTGCTCTGGATTCAGCACCTGGGGAGCAAAGTCTCGCGCCGTCGGTGGTGGAGGGATTGGCAAACTGTTCAACAGGGCATGAACCACACCTATGCCAAGACCGGTCACTGCACTGGTCAGCACCACCGGAATGATGGATGACATGTCTGATCCTTCCATGTTCTGGAGGATATCCTGGTTCACTTTCTGCTGACTGGCCAAGGGCACCTCGGAAAGGCTTGGATCCTCAGGCTGCATCGGAGCCACCAGCTTTGGGATCCGGCCCTTGGCCTTTATCTTGGAGAGTATCATGTTCAGCGTGCTTTTGAGCCTGTCCTTTGTCGCGAGATCGTACTTGGTTATCAAAATGACGAGTGGGATCTCCAATCGTAGGCAGAGATCAAGATGTGCAACTGCTAGATCCAAACCTCCCGTCAGATCACCCAGGTCGTCGGTAGCCCCGGTCAGGGAGTGATGACCGCGACCCGATACATCACCGCCATTGGCCGCAATGCATAGAAACGTCCAGTGAGGTGCCCAACCTACCAGGCCCCGTAGGATTGTGCGCCGAAAGCGAAGGTGACCAGCCGAGTCGGAGAAGAATGCGAGACGGCCATCTTCGGCATGATCATGAATGTCAGTCCACGACTTGATATACACTCCAGCGTAGTTGAAAATTTTGTTATCTTTGTAGCCAATGAGTTCTTGAGCGACCGACGAGGTTTGCCCAGAGACCACCTCATGGCGGTGCCTCAAAAGGTTGATTCTGCTGCTCCCGCGGCCGTTGTCGAGTGTACCATTTGCAAGCACCCCGAGCAATGTCGTCTTTCCAGAGGTTGTCGGTCCCGTCAATGATACGCGGAGTTGCTCGGTCTGAGAAGCACTGACCGGAGCCGAGGAGTCGGCTTGTGCAGGGCCCTCACTGTCACCGTTTGGGTCTTTCTGCGGTTCTAATATGGGCATGATCAGAGCTTCAGCGACCCATAGGTCAGCCTTCTGTCGAGTACCCTCGGTCCACTCGCACTTGCCCACCATCTTCATGCGCTGGACTTCAACCCGACATCCGAGGCTGGCCGCCATGATCTTCAGAGTTGTCATACTCTCATCCATCTCATCCTTGGTCAAGCCTACGAACGTGCCGTCGTCTGACACTCCGATCTCGTAAAGGGCTCCGTTCGACTCCTCCAGACCAGGAAGGGGCTCCCGAGGCTTTTCCAGGAGATGTAGACTGTCGCCATCCTCGAGCAGTTTAGGGATGACGAGCTCCCTTTTTGCTTTCCGGTGATACGGAGACGACTGCTGCAACCGCCACAGGAGTTGGGTGGTCAAATGCGCCAGGCGGTTGTGCCGCGTCTGGCTTGATGAGATCAGGGTGCTGTTCCCACTCTTGGTGGAAAAACTTGGCCGTGGCTTGGATTGTTGTGAGCCTGCAATCCGTGACGTGGTGCTCATCATGTCGTAGTTGCGACGTGGTCTCAGGAGAAGATGCAACTTGTACTCGATCGGCCCATCCTGCGGCTCCGCATCCAGTCTTTCGACGTTGGATTCCTGGCCAGGGTCTGAGTCGCCGTCATTGCTGGCCGAGGCGGACCGGTCTGCACCTTGCTTCTTTTCGGCATCCTCAGAAGCCAGCCATGGAGAGGAGACCCGGGGTGGTTCCGGGTCGTAGGTGAATATAGAGGTGGAAGCCATGATGGAGCTATGGCACTCAATGGTTCAATATCGTTTTAGGTAATAGTGCCGTATTACGTGTGATATATCATAATACTGCGGTATACGGGTTATCATCTCGAGACCTGTGAAGCTTTGCCTCTCGCCTGTACAATCTGTCGTGGTCGAGGAAGTATCTAGCCGGGTGTAGTGACTAGATAGGCAGGGGAGGGACTGGTAAGCTGGAAGATGAAGATGAAGATGACAGCTCGACGAACAAAGCCGAGGATCCAGCAGGCGCAGCCCTGAGTCACCAGGCGAGGTCACGTTCAGTAACGAGGGTTGGTTAAAACACGGTGCAGTCAAACCATGCTCCCATATGGACAAGATGTATGTCGGGGCCAAAAATAGACTGTGGGGATTGATCGTTGCGACTATAACAACGGACCCCTTTGCCAACTACCGTGACATGAATGGAGGACACCTTTGGGGTGGTGACTGGGCCGGACGGGAAGCGATCATGTTCGGCGGGGACGGGCTGCCGGTCACGGTCCCCCAGCACTGGCACCTCCGTGCCACGCAGCTGGAGGTGCCTGGTACCTTGGCCCTCCAGTTCCAATATGATTCAGCCCGGCCCTGACGTGAATCAGGTTGCTGCCCCCTTCGCAGAAACGGCACTTTGCCTGTATCTCTCCTCGATTTCAACATGACTGAAGGGACGAATTTCCACCGACTTGGTTGGGTAGATCATGAAATAAATGCCTACCGCACAGCGTCGAACATGGGGACGAATGGTGGCGGCGGGCAATACACTTGGTGTTACCTGAGAGAAAGCCGACTTCGAGGTCGCCACCCAGCTGGGCAGAGCAGCGGACCCGTTTGGGCGTCAATTGCTAGTCAAAACTTGGCTGGGGATACCTAACTAACTGTGGTACCTCCAGGTAGGTAACCAAGCCGGGCGCTATTAGCTGGCTTACTGAGGCTTAGCTCGCCGCATGCTCTCGATTCGTATTACCTACCACGGAAACTCACCGTTGAAGACCTGCGAGAGTCCCTGGACCTGGAGGGTGCCCGTCTCTTGCTGCCTTGTTGCAAGCCAAAGGTGACGACTCAAAAGAGGCTCATCCCACATCAACACGCTCTCTCCTTGGGTAGTCAGGTAGTCTAGA